CATCCTCAGCCCAACCATCCCAGAAGGAACAGTTTCCTTGTGTGAGCTCCCGGTGCCACCCTAAATAACCCCGTCACGGTTGGGTTGAGTGGTGGGGAATATCCAGGCTCCAAGTTTCTGCAGCAAGGAAGGGTTTGCACTCACCAGGAGCACCTTCCAGAGCAGGAGCAGGACCTTCTTCATGGGGAAGTGTGGAGCGTGGCCGCTGCAGAACTTGGTGACCATGGTGAAGAGCAGCAGAGCAAAGGGCTCCTCAGTGTGCACAGGGAAACCTGCGCAGAGGGGAGCAGGAGTGGGTCAGAGCTGATCCCCCAGCCCTGAGCTGGCCCTGCTGGTCCAGCACAGCACCACAAAGGGAGCTCCAGGGGCACAGTGAACTGTGGGGGCTCACTCAGCTCCATCCTGAAGGTCTCCCGGCAGCTTTTCCACTCGGGGGGATCCGTCTCCTGCTCCACGCGGATGTTCTCCACCATCAGGTACATGACACTGAGCAGGACCCTGCCAGGACAGCACAGCAGGCTGGCATGAGGCCACCGTGTCCCCAGAGATGTCCCCAAACCCTGCCAGCACCAGGGGTACCTGAGCTCCGTGCTGTCGGCCAGGGAGATCGCCGGCTTCCGCAGGGCGCTGCTGCACGCCTGGCTGTTCCTGCAGGGCACGGAGAGCTCAGGGCCAGCCCCTCATCCCACCCAGGCAGCCCTGGGAATGCTCACGGGACAGCTGACACGGCTGGGACACCTCCCCGGGGGCAGGAGGACAATGGGGAGAAAGAGGATGAAGAGGAGGAGGATGAGGAGAAAAGGGTGAGGAAGATAGGGAGAAGGGAGACGAAATGAGGGACATGAGAAGGATGAGGAGAAAGACGAAGAGGAAGAGGAGGATGAAAAAAGGAGATGAAAAGGAAAAGGGTGAGGAGGATGAGGAGAAAGAAGGTGAAAAGGAGGAAGGTGAGAGGATGAGGAGAAAGAGGAGGTAGAAGAGAAAGAAGAGGATGGAAGAAGAAGGTGAGGAAAGTGGGGAGGAAGAAGATGAAGAGGAGGAGAGTAAATTGGCTGGAAGAAGAGAAGGAGAGAAAGCGGATCAGAGAATCACAGAACCATTTTGGTTGGGAAAGACCCCCAAGGTCATCAAGTCCAAGAAGTGGAGGGGTGAGAAGAAAGAATGAAGTGAAGAAGAGGACAAGGAGGGAGAGGAGGGCGAGGGCAGCGCAGTCCTCTCACTCAATCTCCATGTTGAGGAGCTCCAGGAAGGCAGAGAAGGTTCCCAGCTGGTACAGGAGGAAGCTGTTGTGCCGAGACCAGTGCAGGACATCACCTTCATTGTCACAGTCCCCAAAGACACCTGGAGAGGCCCCAGGGAGAAACCCTGGTGAGGGAGGATCTGCCTTTGGACCCCAGGAGTCCATGGGACCCTGCCCAGCCTGGCACAACCCCGTGCAAAACTTCTCCCAAACCCCCACGGCAGCGGATCCGAGGCCACATCCAGCACGGGGGGGACGTGTCCTCACCCTGTGCCAGGTACAGGATGGCCCGTGCCACTCGCAGCCTCTTGTCCCTGTTGACCACCTCCAGCCCGTCCAGCAGGTGCATGACATAGGCCTTCTGCTGAGCCCTGTCCAGCTCCAGCCACCTCCTGTCCGGCACTGCAAAGGGGACAAAGGGACACGAGTCCACCAGGGGCTTCCCCGGGGGCTGCTCTTGCCCCAGGCCAGGGGTGCTGAGCCAGGGCTGGTACCTTGAGTGTGAAAATCCTCCTCGAAGCATCTCCTGTTGTGGCTCAGCTCGGGCTCCTCGGTGTAGCTGTACAGCTCTGATGGAGACAGGGATCAGCAGGGACATGGAGGGGCTTCACCCTCCTCCTCATCCCCAAATTCCTTGGGAAGCATCCCTGTGCATCCAGGCAGACACGGGACAGAGACCTAAACTGCTCCCTGAGCCCTCCTGCAGCACCAAGGGCACCAAACTCATCCCCTTCATCCCCAAACTCATCCCCTTCATCCTGGAGCTGCTCCCAGCTCCAGCTGCACTTCCAATTTCATTGGGATTTTTGAGGGGACATTTGGACTCTCACTTAAGCAGTTTGGGAATGAAGGGAATGCAGGAAAACACCCAGGCAGGACCTGCACTGATCCCTCACCCAGCAGCTCGGACATTTTGGGTCCTGCAAACAGGGGCTGGACTT